CGATGAATATTAAAAATATCTATAAATTTTATTTATAAAAATTTAAAATAGACGTGTTTAGTAAATGGTGTATTTAGAAGTAGAAGTTTGTTGGACTGTACGGATTTTATTAAGCAAATTTTGTTATAACGTACAGCGAAGAAAGTAGATCGATCCAGGCAGTAACGGCCGAGAATCAGAATTTCGAATAAATAAATAGTGAAAAATCATGCAAAATTTCCACTGTTATAAATCTGTTGTTTGAAGATGTCAGCAGTTGCGACTTCATAGGTTTTAAAGAGTAAATGTTGCTCTATCAGCTAGTGAAGGAATCTGGTCGATTTAAGAGATAGTCGTTGAAAACCAGAGTTCTAAAACTTTACGCCATTTTTGCGTGTTTTTTGACTGTTGAGAGTTAAACTCTTATAAATCTTGAATGTGGAAGTGTATGATGTTGCGACTTCATAGGTTTTATAGAGTAAGGTTTGCCTTATCAGAATATGTCTTGTCCGTTCCGATCCATTGAAACACCTCCGAGATCCAGAGTCATGAAAAAGCAGGTAAAAAAGAGCTTTTTGAACTTCAACAGCTCATAACTTCTTCAGGATTGCACGAATCATGTTGCGACTTCATAGGTTAGATTCCTCTCATCAAGGGCTTTCAGAAGATATATAATATGTGGGGGTTTAGAGCCTCCTGCGAATTATGACCGGGGGGGGGGAGACTTTTTAGGCCAAAGTCTCCCTCTCGCCCATTTTAATGTATTGGCTGGAGGCTGCCGGGGGAGACTTTGGCCTAAAAAGTCTCCCCCCCCCGGGCATATGCCGTAAGAGGCGCGAAACCCCCACATATTATATATCATCTGAAAGCTCTTGACGAGAAGAATCTAACCTATGAAGTCGCAACATGATTCGTGCAATCCTGAAGAAGTTATGAGCTGTTGAAGTTCAAAAAGCTCTTTTTTACCTGCTTTTTCATGACTCTGGATCTCGGAGGTGTTTCAATGGATCGGAACGGACAAGACATATTCTGATAAGGCAAACCTTACTCTATAAAACCTATGAAGTCGCAACATCATACACTTCCACATTCAAGATTTATAAGAGTTTAACTCTCAACAGTCAAAAAACACGCAAAAATGGGTTAAAGTTTTAGAACTCTGGTTTTCAACGACTATCTCTTAAATCGACCAGATTCCTTCACTAGCTGATAGAGCAACATTTACTCTTTAAAACCTATGAAGTCGCAACTGCTGACATCTTCAAACAACAGATTTATAACAGTGGAAATTTTGCATGATTTTTCACTATTTATTTATTCGAAATTCTGATTCTCGGCCGTTACTGCCTGGATCGACCTACTTCCTTTGCTATACGTTATAACATAATTTGCTTAATAAAATCCGTACAGTTTTGCTAAGCTTTACTTCCAAATACACCATTTACTAAAAACTTTATTTTAAATATATATGCCGCCGTATACATAAATATATGCTTTCAATAATCTTTTTTGCGTTTGTTTTGCTTATTTTCCTTCTTTGTCGTCCAGCGAAAAATTTTTTATTTCAAAAGTGAAGGTGGTCACCCCGTACCAGCTCAAAAGTGAAGGTAGGGGGAGACTTGGCTCCCCCTATCGCACCTCTGGCCGCGGAGTTTCCCCAGCGGAGGTTTGCCACTTCGCGCTCTGGAGCCTTGTCATTTCACGCATTTTTGTGCTCCGGGGCTCTCCCAAAAGTGGCGCACCTTCGGAGCAGAGATTTGCACGTCGCGGAGAGGGGTCCCATTCGTCCTGTTTGTGACGTCACTGTGACGCCACGGTAAATGAAAGGACCCCTCGCCGCGACGTGCAAATCTCTGCTCCGGATGCGCGTTACTTTTGGGAGAGCCCCGTAGCACAAAAATGCGTGAGGCAGGGCTCCGGAGCGCGAAGTGGCAGACTCGCATCCGCATCCGCCGTATGCCCGCCGGAAGTATCCCTTCGACTGTCTGAGTTTAAATCACAAAACCCCGCCCTAATGGTGCCAAGCCAGTTGAATCAAAGTTATGTACTTTCATCCGTTAGCCAACAAAGGGGCCTCACTGTGTGCTCCTTTTGTAATCAGCATGTCAGATAAGCTCTACAGCCAAAGTTCTGAGTGGATTCGAAGTGTTCGAATTTTGTACCATCGGCTCCACGATTGCCGCGCGGGCGGGCTCGGGCGAGCGTATCAGCGATGCGGTTGTACAGTGATGAAACATAGCTGATAAATTGATTACGGTTGACCATCGCGACCGCCCTCGCAGCAATCGGGGAGACGATGGTAGTTTGAGGAGGACTTCTGCGCTTTCTTGCGGCTGGGTTCATACTGATTCTCATGTTCTGGAACTGTTCCCGCACAGTTCCCGCACAGTTCCAGCACAATGCGAGAACTGTGCGGGAACAGTTCCAGAACATGGGAATCAGTATGAACCCAGCCTCAAAAATAGGAACAAGGACTCAGTTTTTATCAGGTAGTATCAAAAAGTTTCTATATTGTACACGCTACACATCGTTATCAAAAGTACGGCTTATTCTTTAAAACTGAAGCAAAGAGAAGTTGCGACTTGCACGCGTCGTTCGCGTTGCCGCACTTCGTTGCAACTATTGTTCGACTTGTCCCTATATCTCCCAAACAAATCCAGCTGGCCCAGCTCTACAAAGCCTTTTGAATAGGAGAAGCGTAGACCTTTGACTTTATAACCTTGCACAAAAATAAAACCTCCTGTAGACGTTGAAAAGATCATTCAGTGCTGCGTGCTGCACCATGTGCAGCACCAGCCCAAAACGTGTTAAGAGATGTATGATCGGAGAGGAAAATACGGAACAGTTCTGGTAGTGTTACATAACTTTCGATATTTAGTTTACGTTTGTGTGCGAAAAGAGTTATTATTGCAAAGATCGCTTCCAGCTGAGAGTTTGCCATAGCTTTCATTCGCATACTTTATTGTTAGATAATTAGATCTCTTTGAGTAGCGAGCAGGTCACAGCACAGAAATTGACATAATTTTCCGTCCTTCGCTGGTGGCATTCAAAATTTTCTTGGTGCTCGTCGGTGCCGCATTCGCAAGTTTTCTTCATCCTCGCATGGGTCCCTTTTATGCAGGTCTGCTTTTCCTGTCAGCTATCTCCATATTTTCTATTTGAAGACTAGCAACTAGTGTTGCATGAATCGTCGCACTACAAGTCGTTCAGAAACGAAAGGAAGGGAAAACTTATTTACTGTTGGTGCTGATCAATTGAAAATAGATGACTTTGTGATTTTGATTTTGTTCCAGAGAGCTTTTTATGGTGGACATTTATTCCTAACGTTTCGACAAGTATCGTCTTTTTCGGAAGCCTGAAAAGGATTGTTTTGTGTTCGTCAGTCTATACGAACAACCGCCTTCTCTAACTTGCGGCTTTTAGACCTCTAGTACAACGTACTGGAAAACAGTATAGACTGACGAATACAAAACTGCAATCACTTTCATACCTCCGAAGAAGACTATACTTGTCGAAACGTTAGGCAACAAAGGTCCACCATAAAACCTTTCTGGCACAAAATCAAAATCACAAAGTCAACTGAACGCCGAGGTTTAAAGAAGAGAGAACATGGAAACTGAAAATAGATGGCCTACTGTGTTCTTCTTGGTGCTCGCAACCACTCATTTGGACATTTTTCAGCACTCTTCCTTGAAATTCCTTATCTTCTTCTTATTTTTCTCTTGTGCATACTTTCGTTCCTCTCTCGAGCATGTTGCGAATAACCGCGGTAAGGCCGGTTTGGTATATGAGATCAAATGTCTGAGTGCAGCGCCACTCAGATCTCAGAGAGGGACCACTATAGTAAGAATGAAAAAACGCCCAACAAAGGACGGGGAAGTCTCACCACACCGCTAGATAGATAAAAGTTGAGTTTTATCGTGCTAAGGGCTCCGAAGCTAGTAGCCATACTGGCATAGTAGTGCGGTACTGCTGTAAAACTCTCGAGGCATTCCCGATTTTTGCAAGAAGCCCAAGCATGAACAACCGAAATGAGTGCGCGTTGATTACGAATGACTTTGTGTTATGTGAGCAGGCGCTAAACTTTTTGAGGAGCATAGCACCGCTATTGGCGATCGCCAATCGCTACGATTGGCGATCGGCCGTCGTTGATATCGGCGATCGCCAGTCGCTAAAGTTGGCGACTGCACTTTAGATAGCTATCGAATGCTGGCACCTCTTTACCTGTCCAGATACCTATCCGATGTATAGCTACGACTGGCGATTGCAAGTCGCTACGGTTGACGATCACCAGTCGCCAGTATCAGCGAATGTGTCTTTCATAAGTATTGTAACAAGCTACCACATGTCCAATCGATATGATATGCATCGCACGTGGAGCCGTCACATTGGCGATTGGTGAATGGCGATCGCCAGTCGTTAGTATCGGCGGCTGACGATCGCCGATATCGGCCACAAAAATTGCCGATTTCACACGTATTTGGTGCATACAAATCGAAGGGGTGCTATATTTCTTGAGGAGTATACCGCCTGCCCGAGTTTGAGAATGCTATTAGCGATTTTGTTAAGATGGTGTGCGTTGTATTGCTGTACTAGTACTCGAGGACGGCCGCATTTAACAAATGTAACGTACTACGAACTGATTTTTTGATTTGCTGTAATTTATGTAGTGAAGTGTAGGCGGTAAAGGTAAAAAGCTGCTGTTTTTTGGTAATCACAGAATGCCCTTTTGTTTTTAATTTTGTTCAAACTGTAATCAACCTTTCTCGGAACTTTTCTTACATTCATACATTATGGCAGCGATTGAAGAGATTAGTTTGTCCTTGACATACTTGCTTATTTTCAAAACAGCTGCGTAGTTCTGTCATCCTTGCAGATGAGGTTTTTTGCTTGTTCATGATTATCGTATCAGTAAAACTTACCTCAAACTTTGCACTCGAGAGCCGAAGCTTCACTTCAAATTGTTTCTGTTTCAGTGCTACGGAAGAATGTGTCATAAAGTATTCTGTCAAAACAACTTCCATCTTAAATTTACTGTTTTCTTGTGCAGTAATTGAGATAATCGGGCACAAAATAGGAAACTTCGACGTAAGGTGTGCCTTGAAGCACACATATTCAAGATTTCTCATTGCATCGGCAGTACTCGTACCTCAAACCTTCTTTTTCGAGGAAATAACATACTCCTTTGTAACGTCCATTATCCTGAAACATCACTTGAAGTAAACTATTTTTGACATTTGCAAGGACAAGTTACTCATGACATGTTTTGCATTTGCGGCATGAGGAACTTTAGCATATCGCTCGTGGTGCTAAAACAAAGCAGAGCAAATTTTTTTTCCTGCCTCACTCCAGGAGAAAGGCGAAAATAGGGAGGCGGCAGTATGACAAGGCGGAGGACGCTCAAAATGCGTGAGGAGAGAAAATCATAAAAGCTGGGAGTGTAGGCATATTTGCTGTAGGCTAGCATTGTGCTTATTGAAGGTACTACTTTTATGGCAAAGTAAAGTAGCTCCACTTTTTTGCACTGGTGGACCAAACGGATTGGCATCAAGGGTTGCTACATGTGTCATAAAACTGTGCAAGGCGGTAGCTTTTGGTGAAGAGAACTATCCGTAAGTTTGTAACAACTTTGCTGTGTAGAAATCTAACGCGGTGCTGCCAGAATTCTTTTTTCAGGAATATTAGAGTTACGTCTTGAGAGAATAAGAAAGCAATGATATTTCTCTTGGTTCCACTCTTTGCTGGCCGCGGCAACCCGAAAAGCTTTGAAATCACAACTGTTTTCTAGTATCGTACTTTCTGATTTCGCTGCCTACGTGGTATTGCTGATCGAATTTACTAAGCGTAGTAATGATTCCTTACCGATTTATCACAGAATTGCTGGCACTGGCGCTGGTCACACTTGTTCAAACTGGGATGGGTGTGAGGAACGCTGGCGACTCCTGCCAAAAATGGGAACAGCAGGAAACTGATCAAGAATAGATTCATGTTCGTAGAAATCAAAATGCTTATCTTCACAGGCTATGAAGCTTTTATATTGGAAATAAAATTAGATATTCAAAATAAAAATTCCCTTTGCTTTTCGTAAAATGGCATTTTTTATAGCCTTGTGACAAGCAGCGATAAATGTCCCTTTTTATGTCTACTATGCATGCTGGTTCGTGTTTCAAAGCAAACTATAGATGATTGCAATCAATTCATATTTGGAGAACTCAACGTATGGGAGGTAAATGTGTGTTCCGACCAGGGCCCGGCATGAGGTGGGCAAACGGGGTTTTCCAAAACGAATTCCCCTTTGGTCCGAATAATTTTTACGAATACCCCCTTGAGCCCAAAAACGATGCTTTGTGCTTGTGCAACGAGAGCACCGGCCACAGTTCGCCTAAAGCGCTCAAAATGTTCAAACTCCTCTAATTACTCATCACTTGTACCAAGATAGAAAACAGGAAGAAGACTAAGCAAGAAAAATGATGAAGGATAAAGAAATATCAAAGCAGTCATAGAACTGAGAGACACCGTTCCCTCGCGTATCGATTGATTGGGGCGCGCTTTCCATCTTAGAAAGCTAGGCTGCTAATGCGATTTTGGGCTATAACAAAGACAAGAGGGGGAGTTTTGGAACCAAAATTTCACCATGTAGTAAACTTTAGGTGTACAACAGATCTATGCAAAAATGAAAAACTTTTGTGAATCGAAAGTTTTGCCCACTTCAGCGCGAAATGTGGTGTGTACATGCGCAGTAGGACTAGAAAACAATGTATGAAAAATTATGAAAGACTTATGTGAATGAAGAGCGTGCCCAACTTTTTTCCAAATTAGGTGGGCAATTGCCATTCATACTCATTCACACAAGTCTTTCATAATTTTTTCATACATTGCTCTCTAGTCCTACTGCGCATATACACACCACATTTCGCGCGATCACGATTTCTCTGCGCTGCAAACGAGCCATCTTTGTATTTTCTTCATAGTGGGAAATTTTCAGAAAAAAGCTTGCCACAACCTTCATTCGCTAATTCTTCGATAAAACTTGTAAGTTAAGCCCTACATGCACTTGTTCATGTACCTACCAAGTTTCATCCGTATGGTCATTTGTGCGCTGCAAACGAGCCATTTGTATTCAATCTTCATTTACCAGTTTTGCAAAATTTTTGAAAAAAATGCTTATTACACCTCGCATTCACATAAGTTTTTCATAATATTTCATACTTTGTTTCTACTAGCCTCTTCTCGTTCGATTATCTAATTTGGTGCTATATCGTTACGCCTGTATTGAGGACTGATCATGTAATCGTGCTGTTCAGCGGCATCGCTTATGCGACGTCGCGCCCGCGGCAATTAGCGGCGGCGCGGCGTAGCGCGCGCGAACTCTGCTGTTCGTAGAGGCTTATGAAAACTGCTTCTCAATAAATTAGAAGTATAAGGTAGTAAGCATGATTCGACCTTTACTTGCACTTGGAATCTTCTTTCGGGGCTCCGCCCCGGATCCGGCAGAAACGATTTCTCCCCTCGCTTTTTCCCCAAAAGTTTTCCAGCTTGTTATTTGCCCACCTCGTGCCGGGCCCTGGTTCCGACTTCGAAAATCTCGTTGAGAGTAATTGCTCTGTTTTTTTGATTTCCTCTTCAAGAGGTAAGCGTGGTGCAAGAATAACACAGTAAGAGGAAACTCTACAGCGCTTCTCAGATCAAAACATCATTTTAAAAGATACTAGCTTGCTTACCCGGCTCCGCCCGGTTCAGTGAAAACTATGATAAAGGTTCCATCCTTATCCGTGCAGAATCCTTCCCTGTGCCACTTCTCCATGCAAACTCCTTATCCCCGTTTTCTCAGCATGCTCACCTACCCCTGTGCCAACTCCCAGCCCTCTAGGTTAAACTTTGCAAAAAATCGATAAAGTCGATAAAAGTAATGGATGAATTCAAAAACTAATACTGTATTCGTAATCAGCATGCTCACTTACCCCCTGTACCAACTCCCAGCCCCGTAGGTGAACTATGCAAAAAAATCGATAAAATCGATAAAAGTAATGGAAGATGTTGAAAACTAATTTTGTATTCGTAATCCCCATGCTCGATTACCCCACTGTGCAAACTCCCAGCTGCGTAGCTAAAACTTTGTAAAAAAATCGATAAAATCGATAAAAGTAATTGATAATCCTGAAAACTAATATTGTATTCGGAATTCCCATGCTTGATTACCCCCTTGTGCCAACTCCCAGCCCCGTAGGTGAACTCTGTAAAAAAATCGATAAAATCGACATCAATCGATAACGAAAAGTGGACTATGACACCCGCCGGGACCCGAAGTGTCTGTGTGCCAAGTCTGGTCCAGATCGGTTAAGAAATGGAATTTTCTATTCGGAACATACGTACACACAGACAGACAGACATACATACATACAGACAAACAGACATTCAGCTTTATATATAATATAACGCACTTTTCGGCAAAACCCTGAGAACTCTGAAAATCTTGCATTTGAGAGCAGGGCTCAGCAAGAGAATGGCAAATGGACATCGCTGAAACGACTTCGTCTTTGCCATCATCGATTTTTACAATTTCTTACTTGATCCCGCCAAAACTCAAAAGCACATTCCACAGTACCAAGTTCATAAACTTTTCAGCATCGTGTTCCCCACTGTAAAGCTAAGAGGTTACAGAAGAAATGTTGAAAGTTTCTATCACATACATTTACACGAAAAGGCTTTTTTAAACTCTTATATACAATCTCTTTGGAGGTAACCTCTTGGAGACTCACATGGCGAAGGTAACCCTGTGATGATAGCATTAAGTCGCACGATGTTGTCTGTTCAAATTTTTGAGGGGATCAGGGCTATTAACTGTATCATGACAGTTGCAACGACAAAATATTAGGTCGGCACATAAGTAATGCAACTTTTTATATAACTTTTGTCTATTCGAACGTAGCACATTAACTTTTTGACAATATAAGGAATATGATGTAAGCTTCTAATGCACACATTTTTGCAGAATTTTACCATCCTATGTGAGGATTACGGTAGGTTTACGGTACTAAGGGAAAAATTTTAGAATGCATCAGATTTTGCTGAAACTTGGCCTATAGGGCTTATTTGACATGCTGATCACAAGAATGAGATTCGTTTTGCATGAAAAGGCCTCGTTCGTGAGATCAAAAGATGAATTTCATTTTAGCGACAAATGAATATGATATTCATGTTTACTGCATAGGATTACCCTATAGTGCGAAGGAATTCTGACTTTTCGCAGCTTACAATTAGTTATTGACAAATTGCCTTCAAAACTTGACGCATTTGACTTGTTCAACTTCTCAAAAGCGCCCCACCTTAATTTGCGTTCGAATTTCATTTCTTTTTCACTGATTCCAATGTGCCAACTTTCAGCTACATGCTGCCTATAATTGCTTTTCGTGTTTGAATCAGGTTTCGCAGGGCTTCATGTTTGCCAAAAATTCGTGAAACCTCGATTTTCAGCAGTTTTCAAAAAATGCTTAAATTATTTGTACTACGTTATCGAAAACCAAACGGTTTGCGCAGGCTTGCAGCTTTCACCACGATCTACATGATGCCATAAAATGAGATTGCTACATAAAATAGGAAAAAAGTTACGGGAAAAGTTGCAAAACTTATGTACCAACCTAATACAATTTTGTCTGGTCAACCAGTCGTTTTCAAATCAGTAAAACAAGGTAAAAAGGATAAGTCTAGGTACAATAAAATACCAAGATCAAAGTTACATTTTGAAAATTCCCCGCTATTTGATACCTTTTGTAAATTTTTTTCTAATTTTGTGTATTCTTTCTGCTTGTGTGGGTGTTGATAGGCCAGACTTTTACTCCTCTTAACACTGCTTGCGGTTGGAGAATTCTGCGATTATAGAAATGAACCTGTTGAACCTCTAAGTTATAGCATCGTTATTCGTACTCTCATCAAAAACCGCCACAAATACATGAACATCTTGACTGTTATGGACTTGGAGTCTGAAACCATTTTTACTTCATTTCCATATTTGTTCGGTGAGAGTTCGATGAAATATGAAAACTGGACAAGATAAAAATCTTCAAAGGCCACGTGGCCGCGTAGTGAACTTTACGCTAAGAATTGATTTATGTAAAAATTTTGAACAACTCATATGAAATGTAAGTCTTTCTTACCTCAGGTGGGCATTAAATGCGCAATTACCCACCTTACTTGGAAAAAAGCTAAGCACGCTTTTCATTCACAAATTTTTTTTATAACTTTTTATACTTTTTTCCTTAGCTCTACTGCGCGTATACACAGCATATTTCATGTTATATCTCGTCCATGCGTTGCAAAAGAGCCATTTTATCATTTTAAGGTAATGGGAAATTTTCAAAAAAAGCTTGCCACAACTTTTAGTCGCATAGTTTCTTCACTATACTCTACACATGCTTGCTTCTCTTAGCTCATGTCCGTTTATACTCTAAATTCATAGTCATATTGTTATTTGTGCGCTGTAACCGAGATATTCAATTATTACTCAATAAAAGAAAATTCGGCTTTTGAAGATAACACACCAGCAAGATCGTGTTTTTGCATGTCAGTCGTGTAGCAGCTTGTCGAGAAAGTGTAATTATAAACGTATATATACGATAGCTCCTTTGTTTTCCATCCAGGACGGTTTCCAGCTTGGCATTTGCTTATCTTGTGCCGAGCCCTGATTAGAGTCATGAACTTTGCGATGAACCATCAGGCGAAAGTTGGGGTTGTCGTAAAATTCCAAAAACTCATTTGTTCTTATCGGCAACTTGGCAACATGCTTAGCTACGTTGGGTTAGATAATCAGTACAATTTCGGAAGATTTCATGATTCCCAAGAAAGAAAAATGGCTTTTAAGAAACGACGGTCGGCCACTTGGAATCATCAGGGGATCATAAAAAAATGAGAATGCGGCTTGTGCAGCTTCTTGCTATAGTTCATAATGTTCATAATGAGAGAGAAAGGGTTCAATTACGGATAGGTAGAAAGAGTGAATTTCAGATCGTGGAGATTTCGGATATGAAGCTTCGTTCTTAGCTACGATCCCCT